GTGGTCGCTGCCGACCTCGACTTGACACTCGATTCGATCCACCACATTGGCTTCTACGACCATCTTATATTATTCCACGGCTGCAAGATTTGCTTTACGAAGCCAAACGCTCTAAGACCGCTAATAACTATAAATACTGCTTGACTAAAAATTCCGCTATGTTTACCTACGACAAAATGATACGTCGAAAGTTATTAAGCTTAACAGGATCAGCGATCTCACCGCTGTGTAACCAAACAATGCGACCACGTCAGCCTAAGGAGCTGGTGCGCAAAATTTGGAGGAGTAATTTTTGAGTGATTTAATCAACTAAACATGAAGCTGTCGAAAAATATATTCTCCACGGAAGGCCCTTCTACATAATGGGGGATTTCAACATTGACCTGCGCAAGTCGCAGTCATCCTCTATCAGCCAAAGATTCTTCTTAATGTCAGCTCAAAGCTTTCATATTATTCCAACTATTGACATCTCACTCGCGTACATAATACATCGACCACTCTTATTGATGATATCTTTACAAATGACAGCGAACAATTCTTTGTAAGCGGCAACATAGTCTAACCGTCCATTTTTCTCAGTTTTGTATTTCACGTCACCCGACTAGTTGGGTTCTATCTGTTTCACCTAAAGTGCAAGACTATTCTAATTTTTCACCTGAAAATTTTAATAATGAACTCACTCAAATCAATTGGGACATTATTACTTTAGATACTCACCAAGACATAGCTCAAATGTTCTCGACGTTTTACAATAAATTAATGGACAGGTCAGTAAACATGAACCTTGAAGACGCTTTCTGGCTGCAAGGCAGAACGATTTTCAAAACCATGGATCACAAAAGGCATCAGACGATCAATTAAAAACTAAGAATAAGCTGTTTTTGTCAGGCGATACACAGAAATACAAATTATATAGAAATCATATCCTAACATTAACTCGTCTTAGCAAAAAACTGCACTTTCACAAGTACTTTGGGACTAACTTATCGAGTATCAAGAAGATATGGGAAGGTATCAATAGTCGGCTAAAGAAAAGAAGGAATCGTGAATCCGTCAGCAAAATCAAAAAACCTGACAATAGTGGTTTCACACAAGACCTATCACAGATGGCCATATTCTTAACGCCTCTATTGGACACAAGCTAGCCGGCTTCCAAGTTGCCTCAATCGTCACACCATTTAGCTGATTATTATTATCAAACCAGTTTCCTCAACTCTTTCTTTTGTGCACCTGTGATCCCGTATGAGGCTCAACTCGAAGTTCTGTCTATACCGAACAACAAAGCACATGGTCTGTATTCGTGTCCAACTCGTTTCTTAAATCCGCTAGTAGTATCCTCTCTTACCTTTTAGCAAATATATTAAAACTTCAATTGAGTTTGGGAGTTATCCTTCCAAACTTAAACACGCAAAAGTAATTCCGATATACAAAGATGGTGACGACTGCAGACCCTAATAATTACAGACCTATCTCACTTCTTTCAAACTTTAATAGAATCTTTGAAACATTGATGTATGTACGTCTAAAATCCTGTTTAAGACAGGCAGATATTCTTGTTCCATGTCAATATTGCTTTAGAGAGAAACATTCCACTCAGCATGCAACTCTAGATATTATTAACACTATTCAAAATAACATGGATAATAAGTTTTAGTATATACTAAAACAGTGGATAGTATTTTTCGCGCGCTCTGATTGGCTACTCAATCAGTGAATATCCTGCACTATTCACTGATTCACCTCCAGTTCCTCCGAGCGAGTGCCGCCAAACTCGCGTGAGTTGCAAGGAAAATGCCTTCCCGGTGTGCTGCCGTAACAAACAAAGAAATTTCACAACTAATCAAGCAAGCTGTTCCCGAAATATACGAAGAAGGTGACGAAGTTCGGGGTGGAAGTTTTAACAGGTAAAGCTTTGTCTTTTTGACTTGAATTTATCGATAAAATCGGCGAAAAAGTTTTCTGTTTAGTCTTGCGTTACTTTATTTAGTTGACTTGTTCAAAAAGAAGGTTAAAACTAAATTTAATAATCCTTTTTACAGAATGATTTTAAATAAAAAAAGAATTCACAACTCCTTTTGAGGAAATTTCCCCGCAAGAACTAAAACAAATGCCTTCAAAAGTTTTATTTGTCGGCAAGAAAAAGCGACAACCGCGGCCGTTCGGTCATTGCGCGCCAAAATTGTAGTCGTTGCAGGCAACAGTAAATGAGTTAAAATTCATCATTTTTGTGCTCGATTATCTCACTGTTTTAGTACATACTAAAACAGTTATTCATCTCAGTGTCGGTTCACAGACAACTAATATTGACCCCAATATTTCTGAAAAGGCTCCCTCGGATTGCGGTGTTCCTCAAGGTTCTGTTCTGGGGCCTTTACTTTTTTGTTGCATAAAAATGATATCACAAACTGTTCAGATAAGTTCAAGTTTTATTTATATGCTCATGACAACAGTAACTTGTTCAGTAATAAAAACCTTAAATCCCTAGAATTAGAAGTACATGTTGAGTTAAACAAATTCTGCGAATGGTTGACAGCGAACAAACTAACTCTAAATACTAAGAAATCTAATTATGTGATATTTCGAAGTTATGGAAAGAAGCTACCTTTTCAACCAACGATAAATATTTTTGACAACGATAAAATGTCATACTCATCACCATTAGAATGTAACGATTTTTGAAATATCTTGGCATACTTATTGACAAGAATCTTAACACTAAAGCTCATATTGATCTAATTGCTCTAAAAATTAGCAAAACCATTGGCATGATAGCTAAACTGAGACACTTTGTTCCCTTTCTGTTATTGTCAAGTTATATCAGTCCCTTGTTTTCCCCTTCCTCGCCTATGGAATTAGCTCGTGGGGTCAATGCGAGCGTCACAGTCAACATTGGATAAGCTTCTTGTCCTTCAAAAGCGGGCTATACGTTTGATAAACTTTTCTCCAAAGTGTGAACACGCTATTCCTTTTTTCGGTAATCTTAATATTCTGCCTGTTCATTTTCTTTATGTCGAATCTGTTTCTTGTTTAATGCATGATGTTCAAAACAAGCTAACTCCTGCTCGTATTCAAAATTTACTTACTCATGTCTCAGATATCCATTCCAACACCATATCAGCAACTACTAACAAATTTTATGTCATGTCTTCTCGTCTTGAACAACTAAAGAATTCATTTTCCCGATTTGGCGTGTGGCTTTGGAATGCTTTACCTAAAGTCTGCCAGTAGAAACTTATTTAAGAAATACATGAAACACTTATTAATATTTTTAAATAAGAGAGTCACACATCTTCAATTCTTGAAATAATTAAAAGCTTGTAAAACTGTAGCAATCCGGTAACTACGACCAGTATAGTGAAATCTCTTTTTTTCTCTCTTTTCTCCGTGTAAAAATTTAGTTTTGCTATTTTTAGTTGCAATTTTTCATTTAATTTACTATTTATTGTAATCTTTAACTTCTGCTTGTTTGAAATCCTTGTAAGTAAATATGTATAGCGCAAAAAACCCTAGTTGTAATAAGCCTAACCAAGAGATAATGAGCTCTATTGGCCTAACCAAGAGATAATTTATAATCATACCTACCCGCCTCGACTAGTTTTTAACTATTTGTGGGTACGTACTATTCAAATTGTAAATATCTGTTTCTTAACAAAGTGTGTTGTTGTTGTTGTTGTTATAGCTACAGTACTCGTCAAATTTCAGTAGTTGATACCATCATCTTTGCTAAAATAAATAAGCCCCCCCCCCCTCCGAGCGTGCTTCAAATAAATAAGACCCCGAGGGAGCTTAATGAAGGATTTACATTAAACGTGTTTTTAGACCGAAATGTAAACAAATTGACCAGGCCACTTATAAAATACCCTTATATTCTTTGTGTAGGCTTATCTTCACAGGGGTGTAATTATTCAAGTCTCTAATTTTAGAACAAAAACAATTAATGGCAAGTGTGCTTCTGAATTTATCAAGCTTCAGCTCTTGATAGTATAAACCGTTGGCCCGTGCTTCTAAATGCACGCGGCACAAATCATTGTTGGTTCAATTCGTAGCTGTACGGTCTGGGTATCGTTCAGTCTTTTGTATCATGTCGCGAAATGTTCAGCTATCCGCCTAAACCGAGGAACTACGCTTTTATAGTGTCGTTAACTGTTCAGTTCCGGTGCAAAGTGCGTATTGTTTGTTCCGAAAACGAAAGACATTTCAGTAAGGCATACATGGTACTCTTCAAAGTGACTAATTCTGTTTTACTATTGTCTAGGCGCTCCTCCAATGAACACGATGGCGCCATCACCCGCCGTGTCAAACTTGCTAGATGGAGGGGGACCGCTGAACCCATCTTCTGCCGGGCAGCCGACTCTCCCTCAGATGAATTACGAACCCCTCGCCCCTCAGAATCAGGACTTCTCTACTGGTTTGTAACACTTTATCAGTTATTCTTCAATACTGCATTACAAAGGACATAATGTCCTTGTAACAAGAACTAGGGTTGTTCATCTTTGTTTAATACCTTGGATAGCTGCAGTACTCGTCAAATTTCAGTAGTTGATACCGACATCTTCGCTAAATTAAAAAGCCCCCCGAATGTGCTTGAAATAAATAAGACCCCGAGGGGGCTTTATGGAGGATTTACATTAAACGTGTTTTTATCCCGAAATTTGGCAAATTTACCAGGCCACTTACAGAATACCCTTATGTTCTTTGTGTAGGCTTATTCTCGCGGGGTCTAATTATTCAAGTCTCTTTTGTAAGAACAAAAACAATTAATGGCAAGTATACTTCTGAATGTATCAGGCTTCAGCTCTTGATAGTATAAACCGTTGGCCCGTGTTTCTAAATACGCGCTGCGCAAATCATTGTTGGTTCGTAACTGTACGGTCTGGGTATCGTTCAGTGTTTTGTATCATGTCGTGAAATATTCAAGGCATCCGCATAAACGGAGGAACTACACTTTTATATTGTCGCTAATTGTTTAGTTCCGGTGCAAAATACGTGCTGTTCGTCCGAGAACGAAAGACATTTCAGTAAGGCGTACATGGTACTCTTCAAAGTGACTTATTCTGTTTTACTGTTGTCCAGGCTCCCCTCCAATGAACATGATGGCGCCATCACCCGCCGTGCCAAACTTGTTAGATGAAGGAGGACCGCTGAATCCATCTTCTGCTGGGCAGCCGGCTCTCCCTCAGAAGAATGACGAACCCCTTGCCCCTCAGAATCAGGACTTCTCTACTGGTTTGTGACACTTTATCAGTTATTCTTCAATAGTGCATTGCTAAGAACATTGTGTACTTGTGACAAAACTGGGGTTGTTCTTTTTTTTAGTGCCTTGGATAGCTACAGTACTCGTCAAATTTCAATAGTTGTTTTTATTTGACCATTTCAAAAAATGCGACACTCAACGTTGGGGATGGAAAGAATACAGAGAGGAGAAACATCTTGTGACATGAAAATTTGAAGTATTTAGCAAACTTTGATGACGAGTATCCTGCGAAACTTGGTTTTATAGTACAAGTTCCAGCCTTGTAGGTATCCATGCGCGCAAAATGGTCTTTCGACCTATGATTCGCGTTTCTGGCATTCCTTGCTATTAGTTTGGTGTGAGAATGCACAGGACATAAGATTAATGTCTTCTCCTCCTTCATCGAAGCCAATACAAGGTGTTCAAGCACAGCCAGGATGGTAATAACGTTTATTTGTGTAAGGGGAGGGTAGTCTTCAACACGGTCAAACCCCGTTAATACAGACCCGGAGGGGGCCATTCAAAGGGTCCGTGTAAAGGGGGTTAAATTTGAAGAAAATGTAAGGGCTGGGAACAAGAAAAACTGTTCGTAGTAGCAAAGGCGGGGTTCCTTTATATTGTACTATGTGGCTCCGAATTTTGCCCCTCTGTGCCAAGAAGAGTGTTGATTCAAAATGCCCAAAATGTCGTAACTATGATTTTAAGTCGGGAAAAGTAAATTGCAAAACACCCTTGGCTATAGTAAAGCTTGCAATCAATCAATGATTCTCTGAAATGAAGCTTGTCCTCTCTTTGGACAGGCTTCCCTTCCATAACAGCGTTTGAGAGCAATGGTTTAAAGATTGATTTCGCGTTCGAAAAGGTCCCAGGCAACCCATCTGATGTGGTGTCTATTATGGTAACAGCTACAAACTCACTCACCTTTCCCATGACTGACTTCGTATTTCAAGCCGCTGTTCCTAAGGTATGGACTTACAGTTATACTGTTTTAATTTCTTGACCATTTTTTCTATTATCGGATAACTCCAAGGGGTGACCCCCGTACCCCAGGATAGTTGTCCTAATATCTGCTCAAATGTTTTCAGTCATCTGTAGCCTCACGTGCAGATCGTTGCCTAAATAGACTCTCTCACTGGTTTGTCACACACGGCTTTTACCTGCCACTTCTAGTGGGTAAAAGTGATCTGCCAGTGAGACAAGTCACCTAAATAGGCCACCGTTCACAGCACCAAAAGATCATCTGTTTAAAGTTTTAAAAATGGGGGAATTTCATATATCCCATGATGCATCGCTTCATACTATATTATCAAGCTTCCGAACGCACGTGATGCTATCAGTTCAACAAGGACGTGACAGTTGAATAGGAGTGGAAAGCGACTTCTTTTGCCGATAACACTTTCTGTACCTTTGTTGTGTCGATCTATTTACGATTTTCTTTTTACTATTCCAAATATATCTCTCCTTAAGTCAAAGAGAGTATTTTGGCCGCCGATTATGAGTTAACTAGCCTTACGATAGCAACGCAGTCCGCACAAATGTTCTTAGAAGCTAGCGGGGAAGGTCTTTGCGTCAGTACGTCCTGTTTTAACTTGCGTTGATAAAGCTCTCCATGGATTAACAAGCGATTTCCACGTACTTGGCATGAAATAAATACATATTCTTTATGTTTAGTGTATGATCATGTCATAATGTTGTCAAAGAACTAATCTGCACACTCCCCTGGCAGTCACTTGATCAACTTAGGTGCAACTAGCTGTAAATTAATCAACCATGGGTTAAAACCTTCGGGTCAACAATAAATTCGACGTTGGTAGTGTTGGCATAATCCACCAATTTTCCTGTGATTTTAGCGGTCCTCCATCGCACCTCAGGTTATTTTAAAATACACTTTCTACTTTGAAATACACTGTGAGATCGCTGAAATACATGTGAAAGGGATTATTAACCGATAGTATTAATAATAAATTGGAAAAAGTTATTTAATTAATGAGCATGCGCTTAACCGTGAACCTGTCCGTTAAACAGCCAGTCCACTCAAATACTTAGAAAAAAATAATTCAAATACAACATAACAGGATTAAAAACCTTAACTAGCAGGAGGCCACCAGTTGGCTATTTACAAGCGTGGCAGAGGATTTGAGCTCGGGACGACCGAGAACAAATCTAGGAAGTGGCCAGAGCGGGACCTCGAACCCGGGTCCACCAGATGGCGAGTCCGACGCGCTGACCACTCGGCCACGATACCTCCTAACCTTATCCCATCTAACAGAATCATGCAATTTATGGCGACTCTTTCATTTGGAAACGGTGTCCAGGGTGGATCTTTGTAACATAAGCAGCAGTGTTCATTTGTATTCTCCACCGACTGAACTGAGGTGATGATTTGCCACGCCCCTCGGCATCACGCGTGTGAAACTCGAGTCAATGACCCGAGGATTTCCTCAGGGCTCCACCCTGGAGTAAGCTACTGAGTGATCGCTGCTCTACTAACCCGTATCACTCTTGTCTAGCGTTCTGTTGATGATGAAGAACTAACAAAAGGTGAATCGAATCAGACGTGCAGTTAATAGTGAAAACGAACTCACTGTGATTTAGCACTGCACAGTTACCATTCTTTGTTCTGTTTTCTTATGTTCATAGACATTCCAGTTACAGCTTCAAAGCCCGTCTGGTAATGTTATACCGCCGAATAACTCTGGAGCCATTAATCAAGGACTTAAAGTCGCAAACCCTCAAAAGGTACAATCATGCTTCTTGCACTTTTACTTTTAAATTTTGTGCTCATAGCCATCTTCTGCCCCTGTGTAACGTGATCAGTAGGGGAATGACATTGGGCGATGGGATCCTGCATTGGGGAGTTTTTGTCCTGGTTTTATTTATAAGGTTTTTAGGATATTAGGATGTTTATGTAGTGGAACCTCAACATAGCGAAGGGCCACGGGACTGGCAAAATTTGTTCGCTATAAGGAAGTTTGGTTATATCAAGGTTCTTTTCCGTATATTTTACTATAACTGGGGTAAAGAAAATCATTCGTCATACCGAGGACTTCGTTATATAGAGGTTCATTACATTGAGTTTCCACTGTACCTGATTCAATGAAGTTTGCTTTGGGTATCGGGCAATTGCCCAATAGGAAGCTATTGTTTGCTGGTAACTCCGAAGCAAATCATTGCAGTGGCTTTCGTTTATCCAATTGCCAATGACCAATGACCAATTGCCGAAGCAGCCTTTATTGAAAAAGGTATATATTGCAGTTGATTTCCAGTCCCAAGGGCACTTTTTTTTTGTGGGGCTTTCATTGTTTAAGAGCATTATTTTCCGAAATTGCTTTTACGCATCGTAGTTTTTGTCGTGGATCAGTACTGTTGGAATCCTCAGCTTACTCCTGGGCTAAGTTATAAGCAACCAGCCAATCAGGAGTAGCATCAACGTCACGTCACTGCCTTCAAGCTCCTTCAAGCTCATTCCTGATATCCGATTCGCTATTCCTATTGGCTTCCGTTTATAATTGGCCCAGAATACATTATCTTAGCTTTGACTGGCAAGAGATTGGTCATAGGAAGCAGAGCCGTTTTATTTAGGTATTTCGTGGTTTCTATTACTCGTTTTAATTGGAAACAGTCGTTACTGCTCATTCATGTAACTTTCTTTCTGTTGGGTTTTTATTGTTCACTGAAAATAACATTCAACATTCAAAAACTTTTTGGATCCTGATATTGGTGCAGAGCCCCCTGAACTGTTTCTTTGTCTTCTATTCTGTTTTTGTTCAGCTGGCTCGCTGGCTCTTTGACTCTATCCGGGGCTAAGTCATTTTGTAATCATTTGATTATTTTGAGTGAAATTGTCAGCTGCACTACAAAGTGTTGTTTACGTTGTCGTGTATGAGGTTGTTTAACGTGGCTCCCAACGTGACTACTTGATGAGCACAACTGGGCGCGAGGATTTTTTAATAGTTTCTTCGAACTTTCACGTTTTCACTGGTTATTGGAACACAATAATCAAACTCTTGGCAAAGTTTGTTTAATAAGTCTAATAACACGTGAGAGTTAAAGCGCTGCCGGCCACACACATGTTCAGTTGACAGCAGCCTTCCTGTTGAATATGGCCTGTTGAAAAGCAGCTGGTATATTTGTACCTTTTACAGTCGAGAGCGAATCACGCCGAGCCCCAAAGGAAGCGATCGCCTGTGAAACGTAGATCTGAAAATAACAGTCGGCTGTCGGACAATGTCGACTTAAATTGGTCCGTGTTTTCAGTCTTAATTTCGGTAGGTAGTAAATACCAAAGACTATAATTTTGCCACTGAATAGATTCCACCTTGAGCGCGAATGAATTGTCATAACAACGAAATAACATTGTTGCAGTGAATACACGGCAGTCTACCTGTGAATCAGTGCCCTACCATGCACATTTTTCGTTACAGACACATAATGCGTCCTTGATTGAGTCCGACCACATTTTTGTTTTGTGCGACCAAAATGGTGACTTAAACGGACGTATGCCCTTTCAAAAAAGAAAAAATATTCGCATAAAAATACCGCCTGTTTTGCAGAATGCTCTGTTAAATATAACTTTAACAGTGTACTGAATTTCCACTCAACTGGTTTAGAAGAGAGTGATGTAGTCTAACGTTACTGTTTACTCTGTTGTGTTCGTGCACATGTTTCCGACGAAGTTTCCCGCAATATGCCCTCAAAACTTGCTGGTTTTAATTTGTTCTCTCACGTGTAGCGATAAATTGTTTCTGTTTCACAAGCCGCTTTTCTGCTCTGTTGCTTAACCTCTCCATTAAATAGCTTGTTACCGCCCACAGGGCTTTGTCTTCGTAGAAGTGAACGTCTTGTTGTTCTATTGATATCAACACGTTCTTTCTTGTTTCTGTTATTCAGGAGTTTGTATGCGGTTTGTTGTGAGCATTTGTCTGTTTTCTCTTAATAAAGAGCTTCTCTGCCTACGCAATTGAATCTTTTGTCTGAAAATTATGTTAAATTTTTTAACAGTTCCCAGCCGACGCCAAGTTAATGAAGCCTGTCTTATTTGGCGTCGATTTTCACTGGTGTTTTTTTCAATTCTTTATTAAAGCAGTCCTTTGACGTATTGTTAAGGTTGTTTTCTAGTCGGGGAAGCTGTTTATGTTAATACTTCACTTGTTGGAATACGTGCCGTTATTGTGTTTCTTCTGACTGCTGAATGCACAGCCCTATACCAAGTAAACTGTAATAGACGAAACCTAGTGTGGGTTTGAGTGAAAAAAACAGTTGATAAATAAACGTTTTATTAACTCTTTCCGCTCTTTATAGACGTCAAACATTTTGCTGTAAGCAGCTTTCCGTTTATGCCTACAAGATTTTAAACCTTCGTTTGGTGACATCAACGCCATCCTTTTGCTTTTGAACGCTTCTGCTCAGAGCTTCTCGTACGTGCTTACATTTGCATAACCACGCCACTGAATTCAATCCAAGAGTAAAAAAACAGTGCGGCAGAATAATTTATAGAACGTCAGCGCCATTCTTTTGCTTTTGAACGCTTCTGCTCAGAGCTTTTCGTACGTGCTTTACATTTGCACAACCACGCCCCAGTGCAGCAGTATAATTTATAGAACAACACAGCCAAAGTATTTCTTGTAGCTCCTATTTGTTTCACTTTGCAGGAACGAAATAAAATTCACCTTGAATTTTATTTCTAACTGTTAATAGCGGAGCTGGGAAGGACGTTGGTTTTTTCAAAATCGCTGTCTATGCGGATCTTTTGGAATATCACCTGAACAAAACTAAAAGCCCTAGATGAATCACGTTATTATTTTAGGCTTTGTTATGTTTGAATTCATCCAAAATTGTCAAAGTTGTAGCCGGGAGCGAATCCTCTAATTTTCCTGTCTTTATACAATTCCCGCCGGACGTCTATAAAAATTTTAAATTTGGTTGCTGACACAACCCTTCTTTCAAACATAACATGGACTGGATTAGGCTAGGCGATAGATTTTTTCAGACCTCAGTATTAAATGTTGGCTGCTGTAGTTACCTGCGGAACTCTCTCGCGCGGAGCGAGCAAAACTCGTTATCTATCCATGCCCGAAATTTTGATTGTCACGTGTCCGTCCGTCGACCTGCCCATGTAATCAGGGCGGATAAAGGTAGGGCGGTGAAACGAGGGCGTCCGAGCAAAAAGGTGTGATGCAGTGGACTGGGACTCTGCTTAGAAATGTCGCTTGTTTTCGACTTCGGTCAGGGTTTGCGATGTGGTTTGTACATGAAACACTGTCGCTGAATTATGGCAGCTTGATTTGTTTTCTTGCACTTCTTCCTCGTTCCTTTGTGCTGGTACGCTGTCTCCGAGAGGCAAATATTGCTATTTTTTTGCGGGAGGTTTAGTTGAATTGGAGTAGACAAACATCTCTTTCAAAGGGTTTCTTTTATTACTTTATCCGCCCTGCATGTAATATATTGTGCGATCCGTGTCAAAGTCAATTGACAGGATAACAGCTATCCAATGTTTCATGGCGGGATCGCGACTGCAAAGTGGTGTTCTATCTTGTCTGGGAGTGCATGCCGGGGTGCATGGTGGCTTCCACGAGTTTGTTTTAATGATAAGTATTTAATGGAAGCTCCCTCTTTAGGCTTGGCTTAATCTGTATATCGTCAGGAGATGTAACGTGCCATCCGACTTATTTTAGAAGAAAGGGGAAAGACATAATAGATATATAGAGAAAATATGATCGCTGGCTACAGGAGCGGTGGTATTATCTTCTGTCTGAAAAGTGTGGAATGGAAAGAGGGAATTGGAAGCTCTCCTCGTATCAATGCTAAAGAAAATAGACCCTTCCAACGTTTTTTCAAGTTTTTATGGGCATAATTTGGTGAAAATCCTTTAACACCGCTGAAAAGACCGTCTTAACATTCGTAAACTTGCCAAGTTTGAAAGTGATTCGGCGTCTAAAGCGAGCGAGGATATAGCTCCTTAAAGTCGCGAAATTTGATAGACATTTGTATAGTGGGGGGCATGAACTTCCCCCCCCCCCCACCATATAAATCGTCTGTAAATATTATACACTGTTCAACAAATCACTGTCAAACTTGATCATGACTTAATAACTGATTTTAGGGCACAATCAGTGGACAGGCTTTTCTCTTTGCCTCCCTGCTCTAAATATGCTCTGCTTTGTTTCCATAGCAACCTTTACGAATGAGATTAAAAGTGACATACAAGATAAACGGCGTAGCCGTGAATGAACAGGGCGAAGTCAACAGCTTCCCACCTGGACTCTGACGGGAAACTATTTTATGTAAAAATTATATGGTAAATGCTGATCAACGTCTTCTTCCCAGTCACATTCCTGGACGTCTGTAGATGGTACTATTGACCGACCCATTAAAATAGTATCTACAGTGATGTAGAAGTTGCTTTTGGACACTCAAATTCTCCTTGCGTTTTACTGATAGAATTATTTAAGCTAGTGCAATACGCAAAATCGTCAGTTGAGCGGCAGGAGATTTTATATTCTCCTTAGATGTTGTATGTGATAATAAGCTACTCGTAAGGAGAACTTGTTTGTTGATGTAATGGTTTGAAGGTTGAAGAACAAAACAGTTGATCCACGACAAGATTATGCTTCCCTAATTTTCTAACATTTGCCATGGACGTAGAAAGTTAATTTACTCTTTGGGGTGTGGTAAACCTCCACATTTCCTGAATTTTCCTCCCAGCCTTCTGAAGTCCCCGTCGGATTTTTTTCATGTAAGTCACGTGATTCGTGACTGTGTAGGATGAGGAGACGATTAAAAATTCCTAGTTTAAAGTCAGTTAACGCTGCTTGTTACTTTTAAGTTAGATGTCTGTAAAGAAAGCTAAAACAGCGTCCAGGAAGCCTGATCCTTTTAGAGAGCCTTCAAAAACAGTTCTGGCATTAAATAGCCGAAAAGAATAGCATAGTTTGTCCACTGCGGGGTTTAGTGTACCAATTGACCTGACTTACTAGGTAGCTAAGGATTTTGTGTAAAACAACAATTCAAACTTCGATGCAAACTTCGTCTTCTCTGTCTGGCAGATTTTCCAGATATTTTGGCATTAGGTTTTGTGACACGCCAGGTAGAGGCGAGGTAGTTGGATTGAATCCTTAACTCCATTAAAATAATAAAAACTTTCCCTTCCCTTGTCTCATAGAAGTGGAGGGGCGAGGTTGCTTTATCATGATATCTTAAGCTCCTTGGTAGCAGATTAAACTTTTATTTTACAATAAGCTGATCGCCTCAATCGTGTCAGAAATGTATTTTTGAGGTAGACGGTCAGAGGCGAGGTAAATACAATGTCAGCTTTGATGGAAAAACAGTAAAATAAATGAATTCTCAGAGTAGACCACGAAAGAATTGTGTTTTTTTTAAAATGACCACAAGACTTGTCCCAGTTTACAGTCGTGGATGGACCGTTTTGTTCTGCCCTCGGTAAGAAAGAAAATAAAAATGTACCAGGTACTTAAGTTTTTTGTTTTCGTCTTAACAGAAGTTAGTCCTTTCACAGACAGAGTGAATGACTCGTCCGGTGGTTCTTAGTCTTGAGTCTTTTGACAAAATCCTCCGTGCGACCATTAAAATGAAACCTCTTTGAAAGTTCTTTCACTTTGTTTTTCAGCATTTCGCACGATGAAATTAAAAAAATTTGTTGTTTTGGTCACCTTTGGTAGTTAAAGGGTTAAATGGTGATTTTTTTTGGATCGTAGAGAATAGCTGAGTAGGAAAACTTGTTGAATGTTCAGCGATATTGTGTGATTGAACTAGAATAGTGTTAAAATAGAATGCTGGGTCAACTAATCCTAGTCTCCAAGAACTTCGCATTCAAAATTTCGACGCTGATAACAACCATATGCCAAAATACTTATGAAGTAAAAAAAATCTCTGTGTATTTTAGTAGCCATAATTGTTTCCTTCAGGAGCCTATTACCAGTGGAGATCCCCTGTTTCCGCCGACTTTGTTTTTTACCAAAGTGGAAATATGCGGACGCGTGACAGAACACAGTTTTCGCGGCAAAGCTTGGCCTAAAAATAACCCAAAGTGTAAGCTCATAAGTTGGAGATGGAAACCCCATGGTAATTGGCTTCTGGTTCCTTGCAATCTGGAAGCAGGTTTCAAGCTGAACTATGTGAGGCCTGCTAAACCCGGAAAAGGTTCTGGGGATGAGCAGTCGCATGGTGTGAACCTGTTTGAAATAAGAATGGAAATCACCCTGTTTTTGACTTCCTTGTCGTCGTGAGACTTCACTTCGTGAGACGCTACATGATCGACATAAATCGGAGCGGTCGCTGAGTTTTTGGTTAAAGACCAGCGATCTCTAAGGATTTATGAATACTAATCTTTCCTGTGCTACAATAGCATTAATTTTGTTTACACTACTACTCGTTCTTGCAAAGCAAGACCCATTTAGAGAGGAAAGCCTTAATGTAAGTGTAAAATCACCATCGTGTATCTTTTTTGAAACATGTTAAATCTGGAAAAGCTGATATAAAAATAAACATGAGTCAAACTTTACTGGTTTTGTATCGTGGAGAATGCACTCCAGGTCACAGGGTAATGTAGTTGTTTCGTTAGATTACCTTCGCGTTATTGGCGTAAAGAGTAACTAGCAAAATTTATCTTTGACTGTGAGGGAACTTTGAGCGCTAGTGTTAATTTCTCGTTATTCCTCAATAAAATGCAAGTCTTTTGGCTTTTTTGCACGAAATCTCTGATGACAGTATCGCAGTCAACCGGGGCAGCTCCAAGAGTAGGAGGGCTGAAGATGACAGTCGATCTTTGTATGGGTACCTGCGGACGTCGTTTGCTGGGCTCGTTTTCCATCTAGTTTTCGTTTTTTCAAGAAAATCGTGGCTTGCATATCAAGTACTGTTTTGCGCGGTAGCGCTACTAGGAGCTGGCGCAACCACAACAACGACCGAAAAAGCAATAGATTTGGGAAGCAAAACCAAAAACTCCCAAAGTGCATGATACTTCGCTGAGTTTCTCTGCTCTCATTGCACGACTAAACTGACTTGACAACCTTGACCAGAATGGCAATGCGACCATCTTTGATCGTTGCTAAATATCTAAGATTGTCGTTCCGTCAAGGCTGTTCGATTTTGTCGGAAATACCTATACAGAGACTCATCTGTTAGCATCGTCGCCCCACGTGAAGGAATCCAAGACAGTCCTGGATTCTGGATTCCATGCCGTGGATTCCGGATTCCAGGTACTGGATTCCAGTTTTTGACAATGGAACTTGGATTCTGGATTCCAGTCGTTAGTGGGATTCCAGAATCCATGAGCTGTATTCCAGATTCCAAAGCCCAGGATTCCGGATCCCAAAAGCAAAAAATTCTCGGATTTCGGAATCCGGATTCTGTGGGGCTAATCGTTGATTTTTTTCACCCCACGGTATTGGATGATTTTTGGCTTTGCAAGCGTCTCTCTCAATTATAAAAGAACGCAGAAAAAAAGCAGACATTCTATGCAGAGGCCTTTAGGGACTGATCGTAGACAACGAAAAGGGAAAGGAACAACGCCTATGTTCAAGCAATTTCATGTCAAGATTAAGAAGTGCTGCTCCCGTGTCATGGTGGATAGCAGCAAATAGTACTGCAGTTACCGACAGGAGACTCTTGGTTCTAGAATTTCCTATTTTTTTTCGGATCGAATAGTGAATGCTATACAAACTTTTTGATGAATACGTGATAACCTGCAATCATTTCTGCCTCAAATTCCTGTTAAGCCCGGGCTTAACGGCTTAAAGGCAGCTACGCCCCTGATTGGCAAGCCAATGAACTGAGGAGGCATTTAATAGTGGATCCACCAGTCGTACAGAGAGTCCACTGTGAAGCTCTGGATTTACAGAGAGATTACAAGTTGTTACAGTGAAATTTGACCTCGAATGTTTATTAAAACTAGAGGCCAGTGGATTTAACTTTGTACTTCCGTCGGTGTCGGTTACCCCAAAACACGTGAGCTGTGTGCTCTTCTATAATGACAGTCGACTTATTTAATGCTTCGTCTTTTCATGGGTCTAATATACAATACCACGAGAATAAAAAAAATGGGAAAGCTCGCTAGCATTTTAAATGGCAATTCATTGAGAAATGATGATATTTACAACCCCAACGTGGTGACATGATATCCGAAATTTACTGTATGACTTTATGACCTAATTAATTCTCTTTATTTTTTGTTTGATAAGCTTTGAAGGGAAAAGGGAAGTCTATTATAAGTACTGAAGAGGTTCCACCCTAAAGGTTCTTTGCTTTGCTTTTTGTATTTGTTAAGTTTATCAAGGATCAGAATATAAGTACTTGAACTTTGTCCAAAAACTGTTGTGAACAATATCACACCAAGCCGAAACGGAAATCTTTAAAATGGCTATTTTTTTCTAGAAGGTCCTACTGTAAAAGACTCAAGAACCACTGCGGAAATACGTTCAGAGGATACGAGAAGGGCTTGATCGATGCCGTGCAGGCCAAAAAATATCATGTAACTCAAAGGGTTGCGCGGTTTGCGATATGGTTTATTGTTCATCGGATGGGAGGAAATAACATCTTGTATGCAGAAGGGCAATTTGTTGGATGTCAGCCGATGACTGACAATTGTATTGAACCAGAGTTTAAATTTGGAAACTGACATTAATAAAGACCCTTAAGAATTAATAGTGCTTCCGTTTTAACGTTTTCATTTTGCATTACAGACTTCCCTTCTGTGTAAAGAGTGAAAGAAAACTCGTCCTACTTAAATGAATTAACTATCGACAGCATGGATGAGTGTAAGAGAATTTTTCCTCATTCACAAGATACCTTGTTTGCTGTATTGTGTTAAAGGATCCGTCCAAACGCGACCACGCATGGAGTCTACCTTGAACGTAACAATTGTCTGTTCCGAAACAATTCATGAAAGCTTTTCGTACAATACAAACCACTAAATAATCACGAAATTTGCTTTCAGCGAGCTTAATTCATTCAAACCACGTAGAAATGAAACCTATCCACCTTCTGTAATATAGAATGGCGATTTTTTTTTTTGCGGAGAGTCCCGCTTCTTTGCTTCGTTGTTTCATGGGTTGCGTGCCTTCACCTGACCCTAGACACCTAGTGACAGCTGGCATGAAGTATTTGTCAGCTGTCATGTTTACAAAGGGAGGAACAAGATTTCAATTAAGTAAGTGTTAAAATTAGCTCTTCTTAAGCTGTGAAGCTGTTATCACCACGACGCAAGTGATGGGTGTTGTCTGGAAATGAAGTGTTCGCGTCGCGAGCCTC